AATATTTCGCGGTCCGATATTGAATGGTGGAAGTTAAATATTCCAAAAGCAGTCAATTCTATCACCTGTTTCGATCCTTGCATTGAAATTTTCACTGATGCATCTCCCACTGGTTAGGGAGCTCCTTGCAGTGGAAAACGGGCGCATGGTTTTTGGACAGATGACGAAAAAGCGAAGCACATGAATAGTTTAGAATTAATGGCTGTCCTAATGGGCCTGAAATGCTTTGCAAAACAATTAAAAGGCCAAGACATACTATTAAGGGTCGATAATACGACGGCAATCGCATATATAAATAAAAAAAGCGGGGTTCAATATCCTCAATTAAATGACCTTTCAAAACAAATCTGGATCTGTGTGTATTCGCATCGTATGTAGCGTCCAAGAAAAACATAGATGCGGATTTTGAGTCAAGAAACGGAATACGCGTTACATAATAAATGTTTTCATGATATTATCAAAAAATTTGGACAACCACAGATTGATCTCTTTGCATCAAGGTCAAACACCAAATGCAGACGATATGTCTCCTGGAAAAGGGATCCCGATTCTTATGCAGTAGATGCGTTCACTTTGAAGTGGAAACAATAATTCTTCTTTTACGCATTTCCACCGTTTGCGATAATATTAAGAGTTTTACAAAAAATTAAATTTGAAAACGCGAAGGGAATTTCAATTGTACCTTACTGGCTAGCTCAACCCTGGTTTCCCTTGTTTATAGAATTATCAATTTCAAAGCCCTTATATTTTAAACCATTTAATGATCTTCTTCAATCAATTAACAGGGAACAGCATCTAATGTGGGAGACGCTTACCCTGGTTGCAAACGTATTATCAAACAGGCATTCCAATTGAAACAAGTGTCAGCGGAAACAGCGGATGTTATGTTTTCATCATTAACAAAATCAACCATGAAACAATATGATACCGGGTTGAAAAAATGGTGGGCGTTTTGTAATCTTGAAAACTGTAATTGATCCGCTTTGTAGATCAATTCAGAACATTTTGAGTTTCCTTTCCGAAGAGTATAAAAAAGGAATGTCATATGGTTCTTCAAATTCATTTAGGTCTGCAATTGAGGGCCTCCATGCAATAAGGGGACGAGCGCGCCAGTAGAAGTCCCCGCGGACGGCGCGCGGCCGGCTACGCAAGGAGACAATGAAAATCACGTTCGTCCCCTTATTGCATGGAGGCCCTCAATTGCGTTAATATTCTGAATTGATGTTTCCCATCCGTAATTTTTATTTAAAATAAATACACAAATAAGTAAGCCCATCATTCTTGAAATACAATCACATATATTACACGGCAAAAAACTTTAAAGGAATGAGCAAGATCCGGAGAGTCGATAATGTAGGTTTCCAGTTAGTAGTTCAATTTTTCAATTATCTTTAAAAAGTGTGGCGGTAGTGAGACACCGAAGGAGTACTACTACAATATATAATCTCTTCAGAAGAGGCGCTTCATACAATTATGATAGAACTTCACTTACAGGTAAGTTCGTTTAATCATTTAATTAATTCACAAAAAAAGAAAAAGATGCAAACGCGAACTAAAATGCACTGACACCAGGATGAGAATAAGAGTAAAATGGCTGACGAGTCAAACTCGAAAGCGTCGCTAAACAGCGCCCTCTCTTCTCGGTGTCATTCAGATTAATCAATATTTTATTTTATCCACGATCGATAACTGATATGCGACCGTCGGTAACGTAGATTCCGGAACTATCCTATGTAGAGTTGATTGACACGAGAAGTCCATGGAAATTGACTGCCAGTATTGATTTGACAGATCGTCATCAAGACAGCAATTTCGTCTTTTCTGGTGTTCTTGAATATTCGGCACTCTTATATAAATATATACACCAGAAAGCTCTTCCCTTGGTGACTTCTAATTCCAATGGTAATTAGTGATGTCCTCAATGTATTTATGACTCAACGAGAATCCTCAATGCCTCGCGAGAGTTTTCATAACAGAACGGAAGGACAAATCAGAATCGAATTAAATCATATAATTAGTCGACTATTAACCTAACGACTTTGGCAAGTTGATTTATTAATAAGAGAATTTATTTTTTAACAAAATGAAGTGAGTATCAAAAGAAAACAATTTTTATAATTTATAATATTTTACAGACATTATGGCTGGATTCACACCCTAGTGTCGTTTATTTACATAAAAATTTATTTAACTTTATTATTTTTAGTTCATTTATACGCGACAAAATGCCTAGTTACAATAAACATATGTATTTTTAGTTTACTAATATAGCTTCAGAAAGTATTTATTAGAATCAATGGTACATTTTAACCTTGTGGAAGTTTCAAATGACATTAATTAACAGATTAAATTTCACTTATTAAATGAGCTACCTTCTTGTTAAAAGAGATTAATTAATGAACTTAGATGTATGGATAATATAAACGAAACCAAATAATTTCTCCCAACCAAATTAAATCCCTACACTGAAAAAAAAGATTTTGTGTTTGCAATAAAATTGTTTGGTTAGGCAATTTTGGGTCTTGTAACCAAATTTAGGTTGGCTGAAACAAAGTCGTAAAGTTATCTAATTAGATGAAATTAAGACCAAACTCATTTTAAAGATTAATTTAATATTATATAAAATTTTCTTTTCACTGAGCATATATATATATATATATATATATATATATATATATACCTATACTATATATTGGGTTAATCTAAATTTAGAAAATTCTGGGTCATTTGTATTACATCAGAACTAATTAAATTGATAATAATTATTAAAATTTTCCAAAAAAAAGAAACATATATATTATAACTCTCTAACTGAATTAAATTATTATTATCTCTAATTAAGTTCTTTTGGTCAGTTTTGAAAGTCTAACTCCATTGTTATACACTAGTTTCACTTTAAGTTATAATTACAATTCTCAATTGCAAGCACGAACGTCCCACACGTACAAGAATGAAATAAACCCACAAAAAAAAGAGAATCAATTGAACAATAATAATTATTCTTTTACTATAATTGAATTATTATAAACTCAAATTACACGCTATTTAATTAAATATGTCTTTTATAAATATGCACTTTAATTATGCGGTTTTTATTTATAAAACGCATAATAATGCTGAACAAAGATGATAAAACTTTTTATCACACAATTATTCATATATATTTAATGATAGTACAATAAAATTCGTTTGCTTTTATTTCATGTCAACATTATTGTCAGAATATAATAATTTATTATTATATTGTATTAATTTAATATTTTATGTGAATATTATTAATTATGATATTAAATCTATTCTTGTGTAGCTAAAACTATTTTAATGGATTTTCCTTTATTAATTTTCATTTATTAAATTTGTTTACTGTCCTGTAGTTAATGATTCTTATAGTGACTAATAAATATCAGTATTATATTAATGTATCAAATTCGTGTAAAATTAATTAAAAAAAAAAAATTATTCGATTCGCGAAATTAATCACACGACCGTGAGAGAGGTTTCTTTTTTTAATATTGAACCTTCGCGTGGACTCCGGAAGCACGTTGTCTGGCGGTCATTGTAGCCCAGTTTTACAAAAAAGGCGTGGTAGAGAGTGCTATACATTAAGAAAAGATTCTATTAGCGAGAGAATAATCGAAAAGGTGAAAGTGAAGCAATTCGATGTTCCCTACATATATATAAACTTGTTACTAATATATACTCGTTATATACTCTGAGACGCGGAGACACGCGACTGTCACCCTGAAAACAAGTTCATGAATTGAACTGTAGCGGGTCTCTTTTGAGCCTGAGGGTAATTTAACACACGCCCCTTTTCTCTTCTTTCGTTTCTACTTTCGACCGAATAAGGAATAAGACTCAGGAGTTTGGTGACTTCCCAAGAACAGGAAACAATTTCCTGCAGGCACGGGAAAGTGATTTTAATCGTTCGACAATCGCGTGCCTCCCCCTTGGGAACCTTTCTGATGACTTTCGTGTCTGACAACATTGTTACGCAGACAATTTTGCTCATTTTTGCTTTTTTTTTCCTTTTTTTTAGACTCCCTCAACCAATGCACATTTAACTACAATAAACCATTTATCTCTCTCGCAACGGATATCCTTTACTATTTTTTTTTATATTACAACTGTATTTTATTGCATAGCTCGTTATAAAGATTCTTCCAATGTGAAGAAGAATCGCAATGGATTGATATTTAAAATGTTTTCTGAGAAACTAGTAACGATTCTTTACTGTGAAAATATTCATCATTAACTCATTAAATATGCCTGTGGTCTGATAAAAGGGACCTCAGGTACAAAAAACGATTTTCATTTTTTTTTTTTTTGGTTGTTTGACAATTGGAATAGAAAAATGTACACTGATTTCGAATTTTATCTCAATTTTTCATTTGTAATTAGGGACCCTGAAAATCCTTTTATAACGAGTTTCAAGCAAATTAGATCAAGTTTGAAAAATTCTTCCGCCATATTTGATCCGTCATTTTGAAAATGTCAGATTTGTAACGTATTGACTATTAGTTTGGCTGTTTTCTCCAAAACTTGATTTTGGAAGTTAAATAACTATTATTATTCCACTATCATATTTATATATTTGATTGAAAGAAATTTCAACTTTCTAGAAAAATTCTATTTCTTTATCTAATATAATAATGAAAATTATAAAAATTGTATATTAATTTTTCGAAAATAATTAAAATTTTTTTTTACTCATTATTAATGCCTTTTATGAGTTAAACCAAAAACCATTAAAGTCAGAGCCTTCACCTTGGAATTGACACTGAGAAGGAGAGTACGGCCACGTGATTACTTGATTAGCACAATTTATCTAGACTTGTCGCTAATACAAGATGCACCGGTTACAGAAACTTTGTTTTCACTATCTTTTTAAATGCAAGGGGCGTGTACTTTTGCCTAGAGGGTTTTTCTTGTAACATATAAGACCAAAGAAAAGTTAAACTAGTTCTGAGATTTTTCAACTAGCCATCAGGTATAAAGGAGAAATTCAATGTCCCCCGATCTATCATTAACAATCGAACGCTGCTGTTGAACGCAAAGAAAAAAAAAGAAAAATAAAAGAAAATAAAAGAAGCTTCTGAATAAAGTGTGATCAATGTCATCTTAATTATATTTTTCATTTTCTGGTGCAAAGTGTTGTTTATTCAACATGAAGTTACTGGTGCGTATATCAAATATTAATTACAATTATGTTTACTATGTGATTTCATTAAATTGAATATAAATTACCAAATTTACACTATAAATACAAGAGAATTAACTATCCATCTCATTGCTATTTAATTATTTCCCAGTATTTTTTTCCTTATCTCATGGGGGAAGATTTTTTTTTAATTATATTTCAATTTTATTTTTGAAAAATATTATTTAACATTAATTATTACAATAAAAAAAATAAGCTGTTACTTTTTTTTAATTTACATTTTTTATAAATGACATTTTCCAGGTGCTCCTTTTACTGTCACCGGCAATTTTAGCCCAGAATTATCATCAAACTCGAGATCCAAATAATGAACCTTTTATGCCAATTTATCCAACATTTCCCTATAGTCCCAAACTGATGAAACGAGGAGCAGAGAGAAATATCGCAAATCCAGGAGCACAAGATTCTTACACACCAAAACAAGATCTTCGAGATTCCTATTCCTCAAGTTTTCCTGGAAAGGATTCCTATTATTCGCCTTATAATTCATTTTCAAAAACACCAGCTTCACCACCATCATCTTCATTTCCTGGCATCTTTTCCTCGACTCCTTTTGGTGCCAATTCTTTTGGTTCCTCTCCTTTTGGTGCCACTCCCTTTGGTTCTACTGGTTTTGGTGGAAATCCTTTCGGAGCAAATAATCCCTACAGTTCCCTAAATTCCTATGGCAATGCTTTTCAAAATTCACCACTTGCACAACCTCCAGTTGCTCCATTTCCACAAAATGCATTTCCCAATAATTACTATCCTCATCCAGGTTATTTGCCAAATTTTTACAATCAATATCCATTTTTGCCAAATTATCCCAACAAAAAGGACGATGACGATGATGATAGTGATGAAAGAAAGGGAAAAAAGGGAAAAGGCAAATACAAGGATGACAATGATGAAGATACACAATTTAGAGATGGTGGTAATTTTCTCTCCTCGAGCAGCAGAGATTTAGATGGACAATCATCAACCTACAAAGGATCAGGTTCATTTAAATCGAATTCAAATTATGCCGACAAACAAAATGGTATTCCAGGGCAATCCGCTAATTTGGATTACGCTTCAAATTCTTACGTTAAATCCCATCAATTGGAACAATTGATGCGTCAAACGCTAATTAAATTACTTGCCCAAAGTGTTGCTCAACAGGTGAGCCAAGCTCAGTATCCCAATATCTACGAGACGAACACTTCTCCTAATCAAAATATAAGAAACAATGATTATACTTCAGCTCCAAGTGGATTAGCCAAAACTGGATTATCCTATGTGGTGAATCCTTCAATCATTAATAAACCATCGAATCAACAACTTGGCACTGGACAAATACCATCGACCCAATTAATTACCAAAAGTCCAAGATTTCCCGATTCACAATATCCAAAAGCACCTGGACTTTTTCTCACACCCCTAAAAACAAATAGAAATCCTATTCCAATTCCATCTCCCGATTATGGTGACTATGAGACACAACCATCGCAAGTAGATCAAAATTATCAGGCATCATCCAATCAGGAGCAGAGAACAAATTTCAAAAGTAAAAATCTACCCACACAAACATCTCAAACATCAAGTTTTGAATACTCGAGTTATCAGCCAACTCCATCGACCAAATCATCCGAACAAAAGGAATTGGACAATGTTAGTATTAATTTCAGTAATAAAAAAGATAATAAACGAGGATAATGTATACGGTATAAATTCTTTTTTCATATAGACTGACTTCTGATATTATTTCAGCAAATGTAGAAAATTAGATTCTGTTGTATACTAATTATTGTGATAGAATTATTGATCTATTGAATAATTAATTTAAATTAAATAATATCACTGTAAAAAGAAGTATATCTTATTTTAAAATGTTTTGATATCGTTTTCAAGACATCATGTTTTAAAAACACTATCAACACATCTTAAAATAAGATACTTCTTTTTGCGGTGTTAAAATTAATACTTAACATAAAAATAGACGATTAAAAACGTAATAATTTAAATTGTTTACTTTATTAAGACACTGTTTATAGAGATTGTAAAAAATATTTTTGAAGAATAAAATGAAATTTTGTATTTCATTGAGAAATGGATCCAATAAATAAATCTTTATCAGAGTGAATATTTTTATATTATGAAAAGATTTCTTTATATGAATAACATTCATTGAAAATTTGGTTTAAAAAAAAAGTGTTAACATTTTTAATAGATAAAGTCTTTTTTTAAATTAATCTTGATAATTAATATCAAGTTTTAAGACATTGATAAACAAAAAAATTTGCAATAGATATTAAGAATTGTAATTAGGTTAAGAAATTTTTTTAAAATATATGTCAACAATAGAATGATAAAAATACATTTTACCAAATAGTTTTATTATAAAAATTAATTATATGTAAAGTATATGTGAAATTTAGATGAGTGTCGTTATAAATATACATTATTTATATATATATATATATATATTTGTGACGCTCCACGAGAGAAGGGACCTAACGTGCTTTTGACTTGAGGTTCACTTTTACCGTGCAATGACACAGTGAATGAACCTTAAGTCAAAAGCACGTTAGGTCCCTTCTCTCGTGGAGCGTAACACACATATATATATATATATATATATATATATATATAAAATATTTTTATATATTGAAATGGAAAATGATATCTTGTATTTTAAATACGTGATTGAAAGTTATAGACATTAATTATGTTTTTTCGAAAAAATGTACATTACTTTTGTAAAAATTAATAAATTGGTTTTCAAAATCAAGAAAAAAAACTTTTAAACAACGCACTTGAAATAATAAAATTGTAAAAATCGAAAATTCAAGATGCAATAATGATAAAGCATCTTTATCCAACATTTATTTTATTTCCCATTTTTTTCCTTATTCCTCGTATGTTTTTTTTCTGAAATAATTAAAAACCTTGAAAATCTTCAAATAAATATAAATTAACAACAATTTATGAATAATAATCTTAAACTATTTCCTAAATTATTTTAGCATATTTTCTTTAAAATCGAGCTATTGTTAATAATAACTTTGTTTTTTTAAATAGTTTAATATTATTTCATAAATCAAATTTATTATTATTACACCTGTTACGCATTTTTCTTTGAATAATAATGAAAATTTATTTTAATTTTTTAATTTGTTCAAAAAAAAAAAAAAAAAGAGATCGCAGATAAGTTATTGTAACCACTTTGGTTAGAATAAATTCACGTTGAAAATCGTGACCACTCGTAAATTAAGAAAGAAAGTTGACGTCACTTAGTTTTTATAGGGCTATATTCTGTGCGATTGCGGAAGAGAAATATGTATAGTCTCCCATATTTAAACTATATCACACATACACGTGTACAAAGGTAGCAATTACAGAAACTTGCTCGCATTTTAGCTCGTATCATCTTTTTACTTGAGATTAACCGCGACATAATAAAACGTGTTATGTGCCAGTATAAAGTCAAGTAAGAAAGATAGTGAGAATCACTTATATCTATCGTGTTCCTTTTTTTACTTCCCTTTTTATATTTTAGTTATGTTAGATTTCTCGTTAAATAAAATAATAAAAAAAAAACTTTAATCAACTGTTGTACTATTTTTTAAAAAATCAATCATTATTATTAACAGAATTGTTACTTTTAAATATTTTTATTTTTAAATATTATTAAATTTATACGAGTTGAGAGGAAAACTACAGAAAACCTTTTTTAAGCACAACTGGAAGTCGATTATGGTAACTCCATTTCCATTCCCCTTTCCATACTTTTCCCAAATGTGAAATATTGATATAAAAAATGATAAATCTTAGATAAAAGATTTGTAGAATTATTAAAACTTTTATTAAATTTCGTAAATATTTACTACGGTTTAAAAAATATTTATTTAAAATTGAAATGTAATTTGTACTTTCCATATCAAAATTTCCTATTTTTACACTTTTTTCCTAAGCTTTATCCCAATTATCAATCTTTTGCCAAAAATTCTTACGAAAATTTCAATCAAAAATGCCATAATGGAAAGCGTAAATCCAATAGTAAGTACGTAAAGCAAGATAAGTAATAGTTTTTTTTCTCGATTATTTCTGGTGGTTCAACACTTTTAAATTCCCTCGATTCACTATCAAAGTATGTCTTTAGAAAACCACCTTCCCTGATTCTCAAGATAAATTCATGAAAGCGATCAATATGTACGGACTATAACTTCTTGCATGGAGAACTCTTCTAACCTGTAGCACAGATTCTGGCATAACATTTGCATTCAATTTTCTATTGTATTTTTCATAATTATTTATCAACCTTTCAGCCACTAGAGAAAAACAAGATATATTTTTATACTCATTTATATACTTTAGGCATGCAAAGGCAGTTGAATTACTTGGAGTTTTAATAACTTTAAATCCCAATTTACTAATATGGGGATTTAAGCTGTATTTCATGTTAGACTGTAATATAATCGAATTCGTCATTGGTATCAAATGCGATGCTGCCAATTCATCGAGAGTTGTTATTTCAGGCGACGGTAGTAACTCGGGGTTTAGGATAACTGTAAAAACATAGCCTGTATAGATCATGCAAGCTAGTAATAACGATCCAAAAACTATTCTTTCCTTCGTTTTTAACTGGTTCCTCAACTATTGACATTCCCATTATAATTTGACTGATGTTCAACGTTTGCCATGTCTTTTGATTAAATCTCATCATAATAGCAGCTACCTTTAGTAAGCCAATTGTACCAATTGTTGCTATGATCATTAAGGAAAACTCTTGTGAAATAACAATGATTTTCAAGTTTCTTGAAGATTTGGGAATTATAACTTTAACATCATATTGTCCAAACAATCCAAAATTTATCAATTGCTGATCTAATTCATCATAATTAAACATTGGTGTAAACCACATTTGAGCTTTCTTTTTTAATAACGTTTTACGAAGCGAAACTGATGTTCTATCATCTTTATAGATTATAGAAACATTGGGTTTAAAGTATGGTAAAAGTGTAGCAAATTCACATTCTCTATTGAAATTATAATTTGAAATTTGTACATCAAGAATAAGAAAATTTAGACGATAACCATGCAAATCCTGCATTTTTTTGGAAACCATTGATTTTTACATGAAATTTGAAAAGCGGAGTACTTCTTCGTAAACGGATTCATCTGATGCAAAACTGGTAGTTTTTCTATTTGTTTCTTAAGAAAGACACGATGTTGTTGATCAAGTACCATAATCGTAATATCCAAAAACCCACCTTTCCATAGTTTTTTTCAAAATTTCTGTTTGCTTCAAGTGGTCTGATTTTCCTGAATATATGATTAAACATTTTGCTTGCGGTGAATTTACCGATGTCGTTTTAATGTAGAGCATTAAATTTTGAAACTGTTTAATCGTTTTATTGTTTATAGTGTCTGTTTCTACTACGAAAAGCATTGTCCTTCTTAATCGTCTATGTCTATGAAGATGATGTATCTTTTTTTTATCACTGCTGGTCATCCTTAAACATGGAAAATCCTTATTCACTGTCTTCTCAAGTGATTCTTGTAGATATTTTACTAATCTATTATAGTAATTTTCTTTCGATGATAATCCTAGAATTTCTCTCCAAATTACAATTACAAATTACAAATTTAATAAAACTCAACACGCGGATATGAACAGCCTCATTGTAGTGATTTTTTTTCAATTTTTATACAAAGAACGAATCATATCTAATAACAAAGCAACAAAGTAGAACAAGATTGAAAGCAGCTACTGTATTCACAGTTCAATAAGATCTGATTCTTTTCCTATTTTTTAAAAAAAGTGAAATATAAAATATATGCATCAATTCATTTTGTTGATCCAAAAATGATAATAAAAGAAACATTGCAAATTGTTTGTATTTTATGTTTTAAAAAGACTTTAGAATTGTAAGTTTTCATATTCTTAGATTTTATCTCATTCAGTTAAATTTTTGTAATTACTATCGATAAAAACTTGTTTGGTGAAAAAAAACTAAAAACATCTTTTAAGTTATTTATAAAGGATAAATAATCTTTCCTTTCAAATAATAAATACAAATTCATTAATTGTAATTAATTGTACCACTTAAAATTTACCAAAATTTCCTAATAATTTCTAATTTTTAATTATAAATTTTTAAGTTTGTTTATATTTATTAAAAGCCTTGAAATTTATAAATACACAATGCAAAAGTGATATATTGATTTTGCCATCTCTATGGAAATAAAAATTGTCAACATAAAGTTGGTTTTTTTTTTAAACAAAGAAATACATTCAGTATAACTTCATGTAAGGTATAACTTGTGAATAAAATAATATTATTTCATGGACGTAAGAAGTAAGTGGACCCAACGCAAAATCTTATTTTCTACGAGGGGGGTAAATCGCATCTTTGGTAAAGGGTGATTTATTGATCGAAGTGCGTTGATTGGCGGGAATTGCGCCGTTGTGCGAAATTTAAAAGGAGAAACAAAATTAAAACAAGTAATTAACAGTAAAATTGGTAAATTCCAATCTAAGAAATACTATTTCTATAGTATTGTCCACAAAATTAATTAATAATATTCTTCTGTAAATGTTTAACATATAATGGGTATATTGCAAATATAAAATAATGAAAAAAAGTACATATATTAAGCCGAATAAATTATAAATAAATAAATTACAAATAATAATGATCAACTATTAATATTAATTTTATCGTAAATACATTACCTATTACAATGGCGTGAAAGAAAATAAAGAACAATCTATATCATAAATGTTTTTCCGCCTCATTTAATATTCCTTTGGTAATACAGAACTAGTTAGTAAGTTAGACTATTGTCGCGACTATAGTATTGATTTTATAAAAAAAAAAAATTAAGAAAATAAAGGGCATTGTTACAAAAATGCAGCTACAAAGTTTAGCGAAAGTTACGGTGACTTGACAACACTTTTTCTAATTGTGTTATGTAATTTGTTAACGATCCCCTAATGAATTAATAAACATGAAATAATTTAACCGAAAAAAATATATTAATATCCGTATAAATAGAAATGAAGTTCGACATTAAGATTTCAAAATG